GGTATTTTTAATACTATCAGCAAAATTGTTCAATTTTTATATTTAACACATCTGTAATGTTTATGTACTTTTTAATATCGTAAATAGAGAGCAGAAACATATTAATATTTATAAGAATAAATCTTTACTCTCAATATATGAATATGTAGAGATATTTGCATAGAAGTATGCAATCATTACAATAACAAAATCATCACATTTCATGCAATAAATTACAATATAATTACAATTTCTTTTTGGAATAAACAATACTTGGTAACAATAAATAGTTAATCTGATAAGTTAGAGAGCAACCTTATTTATCTTACATATATATTGTAAACTTTTGTTTACAAAGAACACAGTCATGCATGCTACTATCATACATATAATTAATGTTAAATCAAGAAGTCGTAGTTTTATGTAATCCAAATCAATTTTATATTTATATTAACTAAATCAATGATCCCGTTCTTCAGTGGCAGACACAAATATTTTTTGTATGGTATAAGTAATTTCGACTGAAAGTAGAAAATCGTAAAATTATTAAAATACAGGTAGTATATGAGTCAAAATTAAATTCTAATTATATGGGATTCTTTAAAAACTATGATATGATAAAAGTATTACATAAAATGGTACATACGATTAAATCGTTGAAACCATAATGGCTTGTTTTTCCATCTAACACCAAGAAAATAAGCTGGAACTCCAGATAAAGTTATTAAAGCACCAATTCCAACTTCGTATGGCCTTTCATAACAAGGAACAAATACTAAAAATGCACATATTGCCACAAATGTGATGGGAATCCATAAGGGCATCTGTAAAATATATTTATTAACATGTAAAAAAAAACATTTCAGTCCAATAATATTTCTAAAATTACTTACTTTAATTGGTCGATTCATGTTTGGCTGTTTATAACGAAGCCACAGAACACCAGCCACAGATAGCATGATAAAAAAGGATTCAACTATGCTGCAATATGTGATTAATACAAAAATATCACTTGTACACAGCATTATTAAAGATAACATACACTAAAAATGAGAAAAAATATGTATATTAACTTCCATTAAGTCAAAAAGTGATACATAAAATATATAGTTGTGTTTACATACAAGAAAGACTAAAGCAGGTGTAGGTGTTAGTCTTGAAATGTTAATATGACTTAACAGTGAAGGAAAATGACCGTTTCTGGCCCCAACAAAGCACATTCGAGATGATGTCATAATATGAACACTCAAGCCTCCAAATGCAGATATTCCTACCATAACAGGTATTGTCCATGCCATCATACCAAGGAGTTGGTCTCCAAAAGTCTAATAAAAATTTATTTCAATAAGCTTTTTAGTAAATATACAATGTATAATTAAATATCGAAATAAATATATTAAATTTTTGATGGAAATAGTATATAGAAAATAATACTAACCACAGCAATTGCATGTGAAGCAATCATTGCAGTTGGTGTTAAAACTGATAAGTAGGCTACATTTGCCAATACATAGATAAGCGTAACCAAAGGTAACGATATATATATAGCTCGTGGCAAATTTCTATAAAATAAAATTATTTACTCAATATTGGAAAAACAAAATTTGCATATTATCATTATTTTATATCACATACACATAAGGATCCTTCAATTCTTCCGTCATAAAATTCAAGTAATTCCATCCAGAATAAGAAAATATACCAGAATAAAATGCTACTGCAATTTTACCAGGATCCGTAATTGTATTCTCAAAAGCATCTTCAAAATTTTGTGTATGTCCTACAATGAATTATTAATGCATACATAACTGAATAGTAAAAAAATAAAAATTTGAATATGTACAAAATAACACTGGCCAACGTGATTTTTGCTACAAAGAATATTTACACTGATTCTTATGTATTTTTCAATGTTGAATTCAAATCTGCAATCAAATTTTTTCCATCATCCATAGTTTTTGTATAATAATGCTTTGTATTACTTAATAATCGTACAGAATTTTATTATATATAAGGCAATTTCATTAGAACATTTCGCGCATGGAAAAGCGATACCAGGGCAAATGGAATGCTAATATGCTGGTTGATTACTGCTGGACATTCAAACGGAATGTTTAAGAAAAATTTTTTTAAATGGGATTATGTATTTTTAAGTTCATAATATTATAGGTGATGATGATGACCTTGAATTCGGAAAACGTCACGAATCGATTGCCACGATATTTGACTTATTGTTAATTCGGCAATACATTACGTTCGAGAAACATGCACAAGATAATATAAATAATTGGAAATTAAATTTTATTTAGGACGTACATATAATCAATTAAAGTAAATGTTCAAATTGCCTTCTGCAATACAAAGTTCTGTTCTTTATAACATATTCTGACGAGTAGCTTTCATTAAAGAATAAGTTTGTACACTTCTACATGCTTGTATTATGTGTTATTTACGATTTTCGGTGCTTCGGCGTCATGTATTTAAGTCAAATATGGTGATAATCGATTCGTAACGATTTCTGAATTCTAGGTCACCACAAGGTCATAGTATACTAGGTCCTTGAATTCGTCTTGACATCACCTATAATACTATGAACTTAAAAATACATAGTCCCATTTAAAAAAATTATGTTGTCTTCGTTTTTTATTGAAGAAAAATGTTTTTGGATATTTTAAAATCTGCAATTTCTTGCTAATTGAGTACTGACTAAGTTTTGTTTATAACACTTTTTTGTCAAACGATCGGAAGGGCCAAAAAAAAATTGTGGGGACTGATTCGTGACGCACCCTGTATAGGATTATACGAGTTATTAAATATTAAACTGTTTCACATAAAAACCCTGTGTGATAGAAAAGAAAACATGTTGCGTATATGAATTCAGTATAAAAAATATATTAAACCTTATGTGACAAAAAAAAAAGTAAAATTTGTATAAAAATTAGATCAGTAATAAAATAATGATTTATATTCTGTTCCTCTCAATGTTTCAGGACAACAATAAATTGAATATGAAATGTAATATTTTTCATAGAATAATGTATAATATATATAATGTGTGCATGTGTGTAAAAGTGACACTTACCTAACATTACCCAAACCAATCCAGCAATAATTATAATTACTAATGCACCAATTTTAGCAAACATGAATACATTTTGCATTTTTGATGTTTCTTTCACATCATAGCAATTTGCAAATGTAAGTAAACCTATAAATGCAATTTTAATTTAATAAAATAAAATAAAGTGCTAGGTGATTATATTCTTTGTGCAAAAAGATATCTTACAAATAGTTACTGCTGCTAATAGACGTACACCATCATCTGGAATAGTACAATTTGAAAAAAATGGTTGTAATACATACTGTGCAAAAGTTAATCCCATAATGGCATTTGTTGTTGGGCTGAAAGTAAAGAAATAATATTGTTTAACAATATGCAATGCAATTACTTTCTAAATAATAATGATAAAATTTTTTAGAAATAACTTACACAAAAATTAAGTTAGCAGCCCATAAGTACAAAAATGCAGGTAAATCGCCAAAAGCTTCATAAATATAAGCATAATCTCCTCCACTACGAGGTATGCAAGTACCTAATTCTGCATAGCATAATGCCCCCACCATAGAAAGTAAACCACATAGAATCCAAATAATTAAAGATACTCCAACACTTCCTACTTCTGTGATTACTCCTTTTGGTGAAATGAAAATACCTACAAGAAGTAAGCAGACTAATTTATACTTTTCCATGTAATATCAAGTTATTTATAATTATGTAGTTATTATAAAGAATAATGTATAATATATTTATTAATTAAATCTGCCTTAATTTATATTATTTACATTAGAAATTTTCAGTCTTATTAAATACTAAATTTTGTAATTATAAAATCAAAAGATGGATGAGATTTATGTTACACAATCATTAGAAATATGGATAAAAACTATGAACTTTAAATTTTCAACTTTAAAATAAGAGAAATATTACAATAAACGAATAAAAATAAATCTTTACCTGAACCACATATAATTCCTAAAATAATTGCAACTCCCTCTAAAAGACCAAGTTGCTTTCTCATTTGTACTTTTTCAGTACCACTAATTTGTTTATTACTTTGTTTATGATTCTCAGATTCATCATCTGAATTTATTAACTGCATTTCTTTAGGAGATTCATCAAATATTTGAGAAACCATTTTGTCTATATGATATAAACATAAGTAAAATTTTATTGGTAAAAAAATTATATGCATGTATAACAGAAATGTCATACTTGATTGTTATTAAGATTATACATATAATGTATAATACTTCGATCACAATCATAATTTTGATTTTGTAACAATAGTATACATATATTAAAACTTGAAAAATTCAATATTTGTATAAAATATTGTGAAGCAGAACTTAAAATTTTTTAATAATACTTAATGTGAAATTAATATTATGTCATAAATAAATGATAAATATAGAAATAATCGTTAAGATTTTGGATCAATTTTAATAAAATATTGTCTTTTAATTCATAAACAAATACTTCAAGTTTTACAATGAAAATGTATTATACCTGTATAGAAATTAAATTTCTCAAGTTAAATAATAATACTGGGATTTCTCTTTTTGGTATAAATCAATATATAATGTAAAATGTAAGCGTTGAAATATTATCTATTTATGTCAATATTTTGAATTCCTTTTTCGATGCGTAACATCATCTAAAAATGAAAATATTTGTTAATTTTATTACTTTTTAAAACACAAAATAATCTTCAATGTAATACAATTTATGTTGATTACAATACCTGGAAAATGAAGTATATGAATAACTTTTTCGTTGCTTACAAAATTTTATTTTAAAAACTTAAATTAAAAGCATATGTAGGTTATACATCCAAAGAAAGCACGTGCATAAAGGTTGCTTTTCATGTTTCACGTAAAGTTTTTAATATTAATATTTGAAGAATCTTTTCGAATGTGTAATGTGCATTTTAACCATAATTAATATCAGATGATATGTGACGTAATTTCTTGGGTTGATGCAAAAGTAATGGGAATATTGGAGGTTTGTCATAAAACACTGTGTTCGTAAAATATACTATTTTATATACTTAATAACATAGTTGACATTATTGTTTACAACTTGCTGCTACTTGTCAACAAGTTTAAAAATTCCTTCTCGATAGAAATTGATAGATTTAGATGCAAAAAAGGTATCAACATCATGCTTAATTTCGTCAACATCACTAAACTTTTACTATTAAGGAAAGCTTGCAATGACCGAAATAATCAATAATTACTAGGTGTTATATTCGGGGAGTATGGTAAATTTGTCAAAATATCCTATCCAATCTCTTGCAATCTTTGTTGCGTATTCATCGCTACATGTGGCCGGGCATTGTCTTGGTGAAAAACGATGTACTTGCGGTTAAACAAAGTTCGCATTAATGGTCTGATTGTGTTGTTATGTATTTTTGCGGTAATTACGGTAATGCCCGTGGAGCACTGAAGCTCGCCAAGAGCGGGAATATTCAAATAAAACTTAGCAGATTTTCGTTGCAACTGGTACTTTTATATTTTAAAACTGCTTCATTAAGGATTAACGAAGTGTCAAGATTCAAGATACAGAATTGAATGAAAGAATCGGGAAGTTTTTTAGGACGTGAGGTCTCTCTTCTTGTTCTACCCCCAGAATTTGGATCCTCCCTTGGTCCTCCTTTCAGATCCTGTGGCCCAATCGCGAGATAGATTCCACCCCATATATTGGCGCTTCTTCTCCCACACTTACTCTACCCCCGATCCTTCGTTAATGGATGGTGGTGGCAGCGCTTCGTAGGTAGTGGTGGAAACGCAACGTCGATGTAACCGTCAACGTGATGTGCACGTGCAAAGGAAAGTGTGCACATAGCGATTCGCGCAAGAACTAGCCCTTGACAATATTTATGGCCCTCTTAGTGTCTAGCTAAAAGTTGATTCGGCTGGATATCGTTGAGATACAAAACAGAACGAAGAGTGTATATTTCTAGGTCCCGTAGGTCTACGTAGCTTAAACTTAAACTCTTAATTGGTTACAGTTCTTGAATAAAATGTTTCGACTATAATAACAAAGCATTTCCGTTCCCGAGTTCTAACTTTCTCATCGCCATACCACGCATCCTTAGATGATTTCCAGATACAGTCTATCGTTTTGAAACATACATTATTGACAATTCAAATTGCGCTCCAGCTGTGCGTGTTGATCTCTCTAGATTAAGGCTATCCTAAAGCTATATTCATGAACATGCACGGCGAGTGATTAAAGCTACGTTCATGCGATAGCGTAACAGTGCTTTAGCAATTCGTAGTAAACCACTTCTTTACAATCCTACCAGCATCACAACATGACGTTTTTTGCGTGTAACGCCGGCTTTATGTTGTTAAGAGTTGGTCACCTACACTACATCATAATCTTTTACGCACCACATTATCGTATACAATACCGATTTTTCATCTTTTAAATTTTCATCTTTCGAATCCACTTTTCATCTCTGGTTATGATTCTGTTCAAAAAATTTCACTAAGTTTCTTTGCGTCAGTTCATGGGGTGTCCATATATCCAGTTTTGAAACTATGTTAAATTTTTTCAAATAATAAACAATTATGGATTGGTTTACATTTATCCTCAGAGCAAGTTGTGTGGTTTGACACAGATTTTCATGAATCATTTACTTCAACATGTCCTTATCAACATTAGATGGTCTTCCGTTATGTGGTTCATTCTTTAAACCAAAGTTTCCAGACTGGAGTTTTGGTAATTATTTACTTTAGGTATTCCTCACCGATTTTGATGATATGAAATATGAATTCTGAACAACTTTTCCCTATACATATACATATGTTACCGTCGCTCGGCCTTAGTTTCTGAGTCAGCTTTTTGTATAGATATTTAATGTATTTTTCTAACAATTCGTATTTATAATTCATCCAAAGCGATATGTAATGAAATGAAATTAATTACTCGATAAATATTAATAAGTAAATGTTGTTCAAATTATATCGTGTTTGATCTCATTTTCATCAAGAAAATATCATCAACATGTTAAAAATAATTTCAGATAAAAAAAAGTAAAATTAATAAAGTTATATTATTCTATTATGAACTGTTGAGTCGTGATTCGTGAAAGAAATCAGGTCGTGTAGCGTTACACGCTTGACTGACAGCGAGCGAGATAACATAGGCGCAGTAATGACGTAGACCTAGGCGTAGGACCATCTATGTGGTCAATTAAAAAATCCAAACTAGTAGTCAATAAGAGAGGTGTTCCGTACCGAACATTTTGTTTGTTTAGTTTAATAGTTCAAAGCAGTTGTAAAACGGACCTGAAGGATCCGCGGCACATAGGATTAGCCGAGACGGTTAGAGACGCGTATCCTCGGTAAAATCATAAATGAACGGCGTTTTCAAGACTCGTTTTTACGACCTATTGTTCCGACTTCCCAATTATTAAGGTGGTACTTTCCTTCTTTCATGTCTGATCTCCTTTTTTCCCGGAATTCCCCAAAACCCCGACACCTCATCCTTCTACCACCACCTTCTACCACCACTTCCCACCACCACACCCTACGACCAACACTTAACGTTCTTATTTCTCCCATTTTTGACCAGTATCAATCTGAACGTTAACCAACAAGTATCGAATCAGTCCGAGCGCTGAAACATAACCAAGTCGTATACAGGGTGTCCCGTAACTCCTCGAACACCCGGAAATGGGGGGTAGCTAAGGTGACTCTGAACAACCTTTTCCTTTTCCAAAATCCAGTTTGAAGCTTCGTTTTTGAATTATTAACGAAAAACACTGGTCAATAAGAGCGGGCGTACATAGAGCCCGTGCTCAACCACGGGAGCGCGGACTCTCATCCGCGCGCGATCGTGAACAAACGCACTGGCACAGCGTGGGTATCGAGGGAAGCGTGCGGCAAATGTTACATCGTCTTAAATTAAGAATAATCTGGAATTATTCGTTATTCATGAATAACAAATAAACTAATAAGTCGTTTAACACGTTGAATGCCGGACCAATTCTACGTAACTTGTCCACGGTGCTGAAAAGAATTTTTTATTCTAATACAATACATTGCAATATGCATAAATAATATGTCAATAGTGTGGTATCGTAGTTTTAAGCGACTGTAGTTTTTAAGAATAATAGTTATAATTTAGCGTGTAGTTTTAAGAACAGAAAGAAGGCAGTAAAAAGGAAAGCGACGACGGACACAAACCAGGCCCATCGGGCGATCGGGCCCATCGCTGATGGTTTTATGAGAGTGTGACTGAGGGGAAGTCGAGGGCCAGCGATAGTTTTCCCTGCGGAAAAAAGGACAGAGTTGATTTGGAAGTCGAGCGTATCGTTAAGAGTCGTAATCGTATATGTATAGTCCTGTTACCTTAACTTTAATTCTTATATATATTATAATAAACTACATTTTTATATTTAACACTACAATAATTAGAAATAAAACTATTTAAATATGCTGTATGATGCATTAGGTGAAAATTTTACAAATACTACCATTTATTCAAATTAAATGCTTTTACTAATTTTAAGACCGGCGGTCACCGACGACCCCCACGGCATTCAACGTGTTAATAACTGTTTTCGATACATTTATTCGTTCTCCGAAAGGAATAAAGTGTTTTATTACTTATGAAAAGCTTATCCATTCGTCCACGAATTAACCTGCTTCGACGGAAGTGGGTCATTGTGCCTATCCTGACCTTTCAAGGTAACCCTCAACAGCTGATGTTACGGCAGTAGTAGCTAAAGTGGCGAAGTGGCTGAAAAAAAGAAATCAGTCAGCATTGAACCTCGCGAGCTACAAGTTCAATAAAGATAGTTTAGTAAAACTTTCCTGTGTGGGTACTTAGCAACCCAATCACGCATCAAATCCTTATCCTACAGTTCCTAAAATAATCTTTTATGGGTCATTTGGATGTTAATTTCCAAATGAATTGTATGCAATAAATTTCAAAGAATGTAATAATATTTTTTGAGATTTTTATACAGTTTTCTCCAGAGTCTAGACAATTGCAAAATAACTTTTGTATAATAAACATAACTGTTTCGTACGAAAAGAACGAACTAGTCCGATTCACTTAAAACTAAACTTTATTTCCCCAGACTGGGTTCGTTCGCTCACGGACGTGTACAAAAATTTTGAA